TTCCCCGCGGGGCCCTCACCCTCCTCTCTTTCCCAGCCTAGACATTCCCTCCCGGGTCCTGTGAGCCTGCTCTTCCCTACCTGCTCAGAATAATCTCCAATATCAATCATTCCTTATGCTGGGAAGAGCTTTCCAGTTCCAACGTGTGTGCGTGCGTGCGTGTGTGTGTGTGTGCGTGTGTGTGAAAATTCGCTTGAGAGAGAATGCGTCAGTGATCTGAGAGGCGAAATGACTTGCCTAAGGTCACATCACATAGCCAGTCCTTGGACGTCCAGCGCCTTCCCCCACCATCCTGCCTCAAGGGCCGAAAACCAGCTGAATTGTCCTCTCTGTCCCTCAGCCCCTTCTCTCTCTCTCTCATCTGAAGTCTTCATTCACTCTCAGTAATTCCTATGGAGGACAAATCTGTCTTTTTTTCCGTGCCATAAGGCAATCTTCCATAGTCATTGTTTTTGATGTGAACTTTCTTAGAAATCTGTCTTGTTCCTGTTCACTTGATAAGAATGTCATCTTGTGCTATTATGATGTCAATATTCTGCTTTATTTCTATGTTTTTCACAAACTAAGGAAAACAGTTTCTTTAAAAATGAAGACATTTTCTCCTATTAATTCTGTATCGTATTTACAGCGGAGGAAAAACTGTTTTAACCAAAGTGTAAAATGGTTAACGGTGGCAACTGATAGAGTCTGCTTAGAGTTTATAAAAAATGTATACCAAACAGACATTCATAAATAAAACAGGCACTTGGAAAACTCCTTTGAAAGCAGACCTAGGGATGTCACCTACATCCTTTGCACAGATTTTGTTAAAATGCCAGACTTAGAAACGTACCGTCAGGCAACCAAGTGCACACGGAAAGGGACTGTTCCATACAGCTTTCCGTGGCTTCGTTCCGAGTGACGGATGCAAATACCGTCTGTGAAGCCTGAATCTAAATCTTTCACTCCGTGACAGACTTCTTCTGTGAAGTCTGAGCGTATGGCATTGCCTCCCGAATCTTTTGGGCCTTAGTTCAGTCAGCATCAGGGGTGCTTGACCTCAAGCTCCTGACTCTCTACCCAAGGCCTCACCATGTGCCCTCTCCTCCCCTCTGACCATGTGCCAGGCCCTCACAGTACCCTCTGCTCTGGCTCCATCGTAGCCTTACCAGCCTGGATTCCTAATCGGGTACATGTTCATCCTCCCTCATCCTCTCCAGGGATGGACAATGCCACTAGTGTCCACTCACTAGTGACTCCTTTCGACAAGTGGCCCAGCGGGGCTCTTACTCATGGCAGGCAACAGGAGAGGGCCCAGGTGCTCACACCTCTGACACCTGGGCAAAGACAAGCATGGGGAGGAGGAGCCAGAACACTGCCTTTCGGCCCCACAGAGATGGGAGGAAACCAAAACCCACCTCTCACTCCTGGGGCAGGCAGTGTTGGCCCCAGGGTGGTGCCTGGGAGCCTCTAGCAGGAAGGAAGGAGACCTTTGCTGTGGGGACATGGCCCTGTACTAACATCTCCCTTGTTCTATCCCCCAACAGAAGGTTGGAGACAAAGGCAAACAGCTTGTAGACCAGGAGGAGCTCCACAGCATTCTTCACACCAGGCAGGAGAAGGTCCACAGTCGACTGCTCCCTGTCATCCCATCCAACACCCTGTACTGGCTGGACAGACTCGGGCTCATAGGAAGACATACATTTTGGCATCTAAGAAACTGGAAAAGTTTCAGTAGAAAAGGTAAGAAGACTTGAAAGCTTAAGAAAGACAAGTGCTTATAAGGAGTGTTTTTTTCCATCCTTTTCCTCCTTGTTCTTATTAATATTAGTTATTTATTTACACAAATGGTTTTCTCAGGACCATGGGCATGATATGCTATTTTAAGTTGTTTCTGTGTTATAAAATCTATCATTTATTGGCAATTCCTCAGTTTTTCTCATCAAACTCATATGAAAATTCCTACAATTGAGTTTTAAGTATAATAGTGTATCTGACACGAAGCAGTTCCTAAACATAGATGTCAAATTTCCCCAAAAGGGCCCAGCTGCGTGGTTCACTGGTTTGAGGGTTGACCTATGAACCAGGAGGTCATGGTTTAACTCCCGGTCAGGCGACATGCCTGGGTTGCAGGCTCGATCCCCAGTGGGGGGCTTGCAGGAGACAGCCAATCAATGGTTCTCATCATTGATGTTTCTCTCTCTCTCACTCTCCTTTCCTCTCTAAACATCAATACAAATATTTTTAAAATTCCCCCAACGGGAGCCATTATGAATTTGGTGGACTGGAAAGGTTTCAGGAAGTATTATGAATCTTCTTGTTGAAAAATAAAGGCAAAAAATAAGATTAATTGTAGGTATCATTTATCTTTAGTAAAAAATAGCTCTCGGGACGTATTAAAGGAAGCCACTGTCTGCAAGGCAAGGGGATGAAGCGACTTTGTCCTTATGGACTAAAACGTACGGAACCATCACTGACATCAGTGAGTGTCTGTACACTAGTACTGATGCCCACAGGGGACACAAATTCTCATTCATCTGCCATCTTTAAGGCATATAGTTGGTTATGCTTCAGAAAAAATTATCTCAAGTTTTTCTTCCGAAGACCATGACGGTGAGAAGGGAGATTTGTGCATGATAGCATATAAATGACTTTTGCAGAAGTTAATTAGAATGATGAGACGCCCCTGGCTGGGCATCTAAGACCTGGTGCCCTGCCATCCAAGCTCCTTGGACCTGGAGCGGGCACAGTGCTATGGAGCTGACCTAAGAGCATGGAATCATGAAGGGTGTTTCTGGACTCTCTCTTTTAGTCACTGCATTTCCCTCTATGCCTCTGTGGTAAGTGTCCATCCCTCCCGCCCAGCTGTCTCTGGGAGAGGAGACCCTCCTTCCCTCCACACAACTCCCCTGTATAGTTGGGAAGTCCCTTCTGAAGTCTAACCCCCATCTCTCCTGCTACCTTGGTTAATCCACTTCTTTCCTAGGGCATGGCTGGACGTAGAGTTTGTATTCTAGCATCCCTTCATCCTTCTCCCCAAAGTTCTTGGCCAGCCACCACCTGCTCATCTTTGGAGATGGAGCGCAGACAGAATTTTTCTGAAGCTCTCTTTCCTTCTGCACCCAATCCCTTCCTTAAGCCCCTCCACATTCAGATGACCAGCCTTCTGGGCGTGCAGGGTCCAGCACTGTGGAGGTTAGGGGGCATGGGTGGTGAGGAGAGGCTTGAACCCACTGCTGCCCTCCGGGCCTGTGCAAGTTCAGGGGCGCCTGTGTGCTCTGTGTGAGTCTCAGATCCTGGGTTTCTGTGTGGAATATCTCCTCCCTTTTACCTGCTGGAGGCCTCTCTGAGACCCAAAACACAGCGGAGGAGAGACAATCTTTCCCCCCTAAGCTGTGGTTCCGCCAGCAACCATTAGGGGCCACTGTTGCTTCAGCTTCCAATGACAAGTGGGTCAGGGCAGGGGTGGGGGACAGGCGGTCCTTAGTGCCCACCCTGACCCTGTCAGGGGCGTGGATATGAAATTGTCATAGACTCATGCCCAGTCCACTCAGGTGCCTTAATGAGCTGTGGTTTGTGGGACAGCTGCTGGAGTGAGCAAATCTCTTCAGACTCCAGGTGTGTGGCAGGGAGTGGCAGCGTATGGCAGCGTGTGGCCGCAGGAGCTATAGCCCTGAGAATCTGGATGCAGGAAACGCTGGCACAGGATGCTAAAAAGTCCTGAGCTATGACCAACCCCTTCCGCTGCCCCCCTTCACCAAGGTTTTAAGTCATTCATCTGTGGTTCTTTCCCTTCAAGTGCCCTGATGGCCCTGGCATAAGAGCTGGGAAATGAACTCCCCTGTGCTCCTTCAACCTGCCTCCAGGGCGTCTCTGCTGGGGGAGGGGCGCCAGACACACAGACTCTGCTCTGATTTGTGTCTCCTGCCTCCCTGAGTGGCATTGAGCAGGGACTGGTGATGTCCTCAAGGCGCTCCCCCGCCCCCTGTTCTGCCCACTTCAAACCATGTCTGCCCATGGAGGCAGCAAGGGAAAACTTCACGATGAGGTGTCAGGATGGGTTGGTGAGGCTGGGAGGCCAGACACAGGGTCCCCTGCTGGCTCAGCCACTTCTGCAGCCTGAGCTCAGACAATAGGATGGTCCTGCTTCACTGCCATGGCAACTCTGGCTGCTCGGGTCCTCAGGAGGTGGTGTTTGACAGCAGTGTATTCATCCCCTATCACTGCTTCGGGGTCACCACCTCAGATCTCCACGGAAGGAGGGAGGGAGGAAGCTCATCCAGCGTTAACCCCAGAGAGATGAAGAGACAATGGGCTGCTGGGGACCAGGGTACAAACAGACATTGGCATTTATTGTGGCTTCCCCAGAGAGGGGAGGGGTGGGGGCAGGAGCGAGGGCAGGGAGGAAGCAAACCTCTTAAAGCCTTTATAATCAAAAGGTATGAGGGAGATTGAGGGGATGAGACTGGGAGGGGTGGGGTGATTCACTCCAAGGGATTTTCCAGGGGAAGAGGAAGGAGGAGCACCAAGCTTGGAAATCCCTGCGATGGCAAAGGAGAGGAGGAAGTGAGGGCAGGCCTAAGGGCCAGGCTGAGAACCGTTCCCCCTGGGGTCTGAGGCAGAGGGTAGGCGGTGACACGCAGAGGTGAGAAAGGCAGTTATGTGGACCGTCCTTCCCAGCAGCCCAAACATGGACAGAGAAGGGTCCAGGCCCATTCTGGCCGCTTATCTGGTTTCAAGTGTGTTGATGGTCCCAGATGTCCACAGAGACCTGAGGGCTGAGGGTGGGGTTCTCCCGACAAGACCTCTGGGGTGGACAGGCCCTCGCTTCTTAGTCTGAGAAGGGGCTCGGTGAGGGCCTAGTCTCCGCTCCTCCTGGGACCTTGCTGCCTTCCTCAGGGAGGACTCAGTGAGTCTGCTCTGACCAACCCCCCACCTTGCCTGCCCCTGCTGTCTGCCCCTCCCTTGGCCACCCCATAGTCAGGGGGTATGAAAGCCTGCACATCTCTCAGCCACAAAGGTCAGAGCCCTTCCTCTCTGCCCGTGGGAGGCCAATCAGACAGGGAAGGGAGTGCCCCTCGGTGCCCTGGACCCCCGTTTTGAGGGCTGCAGTCTGAGGAAGCCCCTTTTGGGGACGGTGGGGAGTCGGGCTCCGCATCAGTGGGCAGGAGGGAAGCCCGGGGCCCCCGGCACTCTGGGCTGTAGTAGAAGGAAAGGAGGCGGAAGGAAGGCCGCAGCTCCTCCTGAATGCTGTCCAGGATGTGGGTGAAGGTTGGTCGCAGGCGTGGGTTCTGTTGCCAACAGCGGCTCATCAGCTCCTGCCTGGTGGGGTGGGAGGGCAGCGTCAGAGGGTCTACATCCCCTGCCTCTTGTACTGAGAGGGTCAGTCAGGATGAGTTGGGGGGGTGGTCACAGGGGAGTAAATGGGCATCATAATGGGGGTTTAGAATTGGGCTCAGAGCTGGGCATCGTGGAAGTGAAAGCATCAGAGGAGGTAGACCAGGTCCCAGGGCAGGGGACAGGGGGAGGCAGAGCAGGGATGTGGAAGGGGCAGGCTGGGTGACTCACAGCTGGAGGGGACAGCTCTCTAGCTCCTCCAGGACCCCACCATCCATGACAAACTTGAGCACCTGCTCATTGGACAGACCCTGGTAGGGTTGTTCAGCCAGGGTCACGATCTCCCAGAGCACCACGCCGAAGGACCTGGAGGACACACAGGAGGGCTTGAACCCAGCACCCTTCATGAGGGATTGCACCCAGGCCTCGCCCCAGACCCCACCCCCGCATCCCCCGAGCCCTCTGCTCCAGCCAGGCCCCACCAGACATCCGAGTGGGTGGTAAAGATCCCATCTTTGAGGGACTCGGGCGCCATCCAGCGCACGGGCAGCAGCCCCTTCCCGCCCTTGCGGTAGTAGTCTGTCTCATACACATCTCGAGTCATCCCGAAATCTGGAAAGCAAGGGGGGAGAGGGTGTGGAGCAGCAGAGCCTTAACCAGCAGGAATACCTCTCCAAATCTCTCCACCTCCAGAGTATAAGAATCCTGGAAAGCGAGGGCTCTAAGTATATCAGAGACTCTCCCATCCGACCCTTCTGTACTTGGACAGGGAGACTGAGACTCAGGGTCGGGGGTGGGGGTGGGGGGGACTACCAGGGACAGAGCTGTGGACCAGGCCTGGGTGCTTGGGTACCTAGCTTAGGAGGAGTCTCTCAATTCCTCGGATTGCCCCCACCTGCCTGGCACCCTCCATACCCCCAATCTTGACGGTGAAGTCCTGGGACACCATGCAGTTTCGGGCTGCCAGGTCTCGGTGCACAAACTTTTTGGCAGCAAGGTAGGCCATGCCATCTGCAATCTCACCAGCCATCTGAATCATATCTCCCAGTGCTGGCCGTGGGAGCCCAGGGTTATTCTAGAGCCAGGAGAGGGGACGGGTGACGAAGGAACCTAGAGGCGGACTCCTCACCAAGGATTACCCACCACAACTATGCCCGCGTTTTCTCTGACTGTTTTCTCTGACTCTCCAGCACGTTGGCTCAGAGTCTTCTCCCAGTCCTCACCTCTGCCTCGGGCCGCAAAGATCGAAGATGGCTCTTGAGGTCCCCACGAGTCATTAACTCCATGATGACCAGAGTTGGCTGGCCCTGGGACACCACGCCCAGGAGACGTACCTGAGAGGAACAAAGAGCCTAGTTGCAGGTCCCCTCAGCTCTCCGTGACCCATCTGGCCAAAATCATGGCCTGCTGTGACCACTCTCTGACCCAGACACCAAACCTGATCCTAACCCCAAGCATAAGCATAACTCTAATCCTGGCCTAACAGTGACCATGACCTTGATTGTGTCTGACTATCATCCTAGTCTTTATGATTGGCCCAACTCTGACCTTGATCCCAATCATGATCCCAATAATGATCTTGACATTCAATATTGACCCCAACCATGACTAATCTCAGCCCTAGCCACGATTCGATCATGACCCTACCATGACCCTGGTTTGACTCTAACCCCAACCATGACCTTTACCCCAATTAGGTTCCTAACTACAATCCCAACCCTGACCTTGATGGTACCCTGACCTCATCCCTGACACTATCCTCCTACCTAATTATGACCCTGACAACGCCACTGAGCCTCCCTTACCACATGGTGACACTTGAATGCCTTCATGACAGAGGCTTCCTTGAGGAACTCAATGCGTTCTCGTGGGCTGGCCAGCTCATTCACCGTCTTCAGGGCCACAGGTGTGGTCTCCTCTCCAGCCTCAAGTCCTTGTGCCAGCCCCTCATATACCATCCCGAAGAAGCCCTGGCCCAGTTCCCGAATTATGGAGATCTGCTCCCGAGGCACCTCCCACTCGTCAGGGATGTACACTGAGAGGAGGTGGGGGTCACAAGGCAAGGATACTGCTGTCTGCCACTCCGCCTCTGAAGGGCTCGGGTCCCATGGCTGCCTGCTCCAAAAAGGTCTCCTGCAAGTTTGCCTCTCCACCCCTCCTGTCTCTTGTCCACACCACCTGCCCACTCACCCCCCGACCTACCATCAGAAGCACTGAAGTACTCTGGATTCACAGAGGCATAGAGGGTGCTGTTTCTGCAACAGAAGGTGAGGGGGTCAGGCTGGAAGGTCCCCAGGAAGGAAGGAGCAACATCAGAGGGCAAGGAAGAGGGACAATGCAAGGAGGAGGGAAGTCCTGAACACCCTCGGCCCTGGTCAGGATGACCACTAGGGGAGCTCTAAGCACTCTCTAAGCTGGTCTGGGTCTTCGTCCTTAGACCCAGGGAGTAGGGAGGACAGTGTAGAGGGCTCCTGCCTCCTCAGCAAATCCTTAGACCCCAGCTAACCAAAGCCCTGCCCCCATTTCCCTCTTTTATTCAGCCCCAGGAGGCACCTGACAGAGAGGAAGGGAGAGGGATAAAGAGTTAGAAACATCGATGAGAGAGAAACATCGATCAGCTGCCTCCTACACACTCCCCACTGGGTATGTGCCCGCAACCAAGGTACATGCCCTTGGCTGGAATCGAACCTGGGACCCTTGAGTCCACAGGCCGATGCTCTATCCACTGAGCCAAACCAGTCAGGGCCCCATTTCCCTCTTTTATTCAGCCCCAGGAGGCACCTGACACCAAGCATCTACTCCCTCCTGATTGCACTGACTTTACGCTGAGGGCTCATGGAGAGAAGGCGGCTGGGGGCCAGTAGGACCTGTTCTTACCTCTTCTTGCTGTAGAAGAAACCAAGGGCAGCAAGAATGATGAGCAGCATGAGTCCCACGGGGGTGACAGTGAGAAGGTGCAGCCCCCCGGAGTCCTCCTCCTCTGGTGGCCAGTCAGTGGACAGGAACAGAGGGCAGCAGAGGGTGGGGTCAAAGGTGGAGAAGTCAGGGTAGAGGACACTTCTCTTTCCTCAGTGGGAGGTGAGGAGGGGGCGAGGCTGGGATGGGGGGCCTAGGGACCTGGTGGCGCTGTTTGCGAGTACAGGTCTGGGACAGGGGCTGTGTGTACCTGAGCCAGGGATGTAGAAAGCGACACTTTCGGTCCAGGAGCCGTTGCCAGCCAGTGAGGTTGCCCGCACTCTGGCGGAGTAGTTTCCCGGGGGCAGCAGGGCCAGGTGGACGCCCCCAAACTTGGCATATCGCAGGCGGGACACACACAGCACTGTGGCCTCCTGAGGGCAACACAGAACAGCTGGCTGGGAGAAGGATGGAGGCACAGACTGGGGCTGGGTTAGGGGGCCTTCTGGGGTACCGACCTCTCCCAAGCGGCGGTACTTGATCTCGTACTTGAGGATAAGTCCATTGGGGTCCGATGGCTCCAGCCAGTGCAGGAGGACACTGCTCTTGCTGGCCGCCTCCCAGGCCACCTTCCCTGGGATACCATCAGCCTCTCCTGCGGGAGAGGGCATCAGCTAGCCCAGCCACAAGGACAGTCATGTGCCCCTTAAGGATGTTTCTGTCAATAACGGACCACATATATGGTGGGGGTCCCATAAGGTCATAATAGAGCTGGGAAATTCCTATTGCTCCTGACTGTGTACCTGTCCTAACGTCATAGCACAGAGCATCACTCACCTGTTTGTGGGGATGCTGGTGTAAACCAGCCTACTTTGCTGCCAGTGTATAAACATATAGCACATACAACTGTGCATAGTACATAATAGGTGATGATAACAAACGCTATGTTACTGGTTTTGTATTTATTATAATATACTTTCTGTCATCACATTATTATTATTTTTAATCCTCACATGAGGATATGTTTTTATTGATTTGAGAGAGAGAGAGAGAGAGAGAGAAACATCAATGTGAGAGAGAAACATGGCTAGGTTGCCTCCTGTGATCACCTCAAAGGAGATTGAACCTTCATCCTTGGTATGTGCTCTGATCAGGAATCAAACCTGCAAACTTTTTGGTGTGTGGGAACGATGCTCCAATCAACTGGGCCACCCAGCCGGGCTGTCGTTATTTTAGAGGGCACTCTTTCTACTCATAAAACGTGGTCGCTGGCAAACAGTATGCGGTGTTATGGCTGCTGCATCTTGCGTATTAACTGTGCTTCTTGATTGCATTTTCTCTTGTGCTTGATTTAATTCGTGTTGTTTTGTACAGTAACATGCTGTGCAGGCTTGTAACCTAGGAGCGATCGGCTATACCATACAACCTAGGTGTGTAGTTGGCTATACCATACAGATTAGGTGTGTCGTAGGCTATACCATACAGCCTAGGTGTGTCGTAGGCTATACCATACAGATTAGGTGTGTGGTAGGCTATACCATACAGCCTAAGTGTGTCGTAGGCTATACCATACAGCCTAAGTGTGTCGTAGGCTATACCATACAGCCTAAGTGTGTAGGAGGCTATACCATACAGCCTAGGTGTGTAGTTGGCTATACCATACAGATTAGGTGTGTAGTAGGCTATACCATACAGCCTAGGTGTGTCGTAGGCTATACCATACAGCCTAGGTGTGTACCATATAGGCTGTGTGAGTGCACTCTCTGATGTTCTCACCTTCAAATACAAACTCTAGGGGGCTAACCTGGGAGGTTTGAGGAAACGCTAGGATTACGGGGACTGGGAGGAGGATGAAAGCAAGGCCCTGGGGTTAGCTGGAGCTCAAACTC